CCCCAGAATATACTCTAAATTGCTTTTTACAACTTTTAGGAATGTTATATGAACAAAGTTGAAAAAGCTAAACAGAAGGGCAAATTTACATCATTAGCTATTTTCCTGAGCATATTATTGTATGTTTATGAACAGAACAGTTGTGCTTTTCATACCTAACAGTAAAATAAATTAAATATTTTAAGATAAATTGATAGCATATTAAGGAAAATTAGAGAATTTAAATCTATGACTAACATTCAACTAGTACTTTTACATAGTTTTCAGCATTCTGGGTCACTGGTTTGAACCTCAACTGAGTTATTTATTCAGTAGAAGTTACTGCTGGATGTGGGCCCAAAATGGGATTCATACTCCAAACTCCTTATAAGTGTTTAGAACTCAAAGACCCTAGTCTATCTTACAGAAGAACATTTAAAAATAAGGAGGTTTTAATAGAGCTTCAGATGTATATTAAAAAAAAAAATCTACAAGAAGGATTTTACCTAAAAATCCATTGATCCTTTCAAAATTAGGTTTTTTTGTTTAAGTGACCACACCTGTTCATGTAACATCTCAAGAGAGACTGCATTCTGTGGAGAATAATCCTAAAGACCTTTTGGCTTTGAATAGAAGTTGAATGCTACATAGTTCAACAGAATAAATAGTGAATCTGTCCACAGAGGAAAATCAGTCTCAGTAAGTGAATCAGGATGAATATTTTTATTGACTTGGGCACTGTCAGGTACACACCCGAGACAGCTGACGGTTTGCAGACAGTGTTACAAGGATCTCCTACTGGCCAATGCCAGGTCAAGTCAAAGGTAAGAATTTCACCCTGTGTTATCAGCAAACTTAAACCCTCAAGAAAGTATCTTGTTCAAAGCAGCACTTCTGTCAAATTCTTAATCTATTTCCAGTTATTTGTGTAGTCTTGGAGTGCAACTGGCTGCTCATACTAATAGAGAAAACACGTCTCCTACCTGTAGGATACACATAAGTAAAATGGGATAAAATTCCTTTTACTGTGCACAAGACTGTTTTTCCAAATTACAGCAGTTACATAATACACCAGACCCATTGTCATTTAGAAAACAAGAAACAGATTAGCATTAAGAAGTAGTTTGTCCAAAATCGTTAATAAATCAGCAAGGGATAACTAGAAACAACATCCTGACCTCTTGAATACACATCCAAACAATGCAGCATTTTCCCCCCTCGATCAGCTAGCTACCTGATCACCTGCCTTAAAAACAAATGCTTTTAGTTTTCAGTTTAAAAATCTAAGGTCCTAGCTGCTCTAGATCTCTCAATTTTAGCACAACAATAATTCTCAAGCATTCTGAGCAAGGAATGGCAATGCAGATGATATTATTTATGTACTTTTTGTTATTCATGTTTCTTTAAACAGGTTGTGGATGAGAATTACTTCTGTTTCAGGATATTACTGACCTAGACTTGATGGCTTGTCATGGGACAAATTAAAAGGTGCTTCCCATCTTTTCTGGGATAACAGACACAGGCCAAAATTTACTGTGGAGCTTCCCACAAAACCCCACGACAATGGATTCTCATACTCATCTATCAATTTATACAAGCAGAAGAGGAAAATATTTTAAATTTTTTTTTTCTCCATGTAAGAAATTCCTTAACACTATGCTGTCTTCCTTCCCTGCATGGGTACTGAGTTACAGTTCTGCAATGAGTGCAGACAGCAGCTTTCTTCATTTTAGCCTCAGAGCTCCCTGGAAACACAAGCTTTCTAGCTGTTTTGCTAGTGTGAGAGTTTGACTGGTACTGTTGACAGAGATACTATTAGGGCAGAAAGATGTGAAAACTGGTTGGTTGTTGCACTAAGGCTTAGTTGCTACAAGCTTGGGAAGTCTGTCTCTCCCCCGCTGGTGGTTGTACACCTTTAGCCACCACTTCGAAGATTTGTTTTGCTTCCCCCTCTTCTCCTGCCTTTAAATTTTAATACCGACACCTTGTTGCCAACAAGGAAGGCAGCACAAGTTATTCTGCAGAGAGTTCAAGAGTTCAGTAACACTCAGAGGTAACTAAAGCTCCACTCTACCTACCAAAAGGTAAATCTCAAACTTGCATCAAAAAAGATTTTCAGTTTGGGAAGATTACTGGCTACTTCCAGTACAAACTGGTGGCTATCTGCTTTTAATTTGACATTGTCTGGTGTTTTATAATTGCGCAAGGCAAACACAGACTTCTCCTTGTGATAACAAATGGATGCATCTGAAAGCCTACCTTCGTGTTAACTCCAATTAACAATGGCCTTAAATTCAAGAGTATTCACTGACATGATACAGAATTCCATAGAGAGATACGACTTTAGTTGTCAATGTTTTGAACAGATACATTGCTTTTAATTTATGAAAGGGTAAAATTGGAAACCTGTATACTCTGTATTATCTAAAAACTTTATAATTTAAAAATACCATTCTCTTAGTGCTGTAAAAACATGAGGTTGCACATCCATGCACACAAATCACACTAAAACATTACAATAATAAAGTTGTTATTTTGCTAAATATTCAAATTCTGAAATAGTCAATTTAAATTTAAGTAGCTAAAATAAACTGTTGAGAAGTTAATAGGGAAACAACAGTCAGCAACACAGTTCTGACAGCTAGATGCTATTTCTGTGAACAGGTGACATACAGCGGGCACGTCAGGTGGCAAAGGATGGCAAGGAAGTCCACATGAACCAAAGAAACTGGGAAGTCCAGTACTGAGGTCTAACACAACAGCTTTTGAGTATTAAGCAGAAGGGATAGTGTCACATCAAGTCTCCTGGCTTAAAGTCCACTGTGCTGAAGCAGATAGCTTTCTAGAGAACTCACTTGAAGTCAACCTGGTATGTCAGTTCCTTCATTAAGCACCTTTATTGCCATTTTATTCCCTTGTCAGTACTTCACAGTGATATAATAGACTTAAAATTGATCCCCAGTATGTTCTTCCAATACAGTTTCTAGTTACATTGCTTCAGATGACAGTTACATTACCAGTGCAAGTTAAGTGGCCAATTCATCTGCTAGGCTTTAATCTTTTCAATCTTTTGAGTGCAATGGTATTCTGTGAATGCAATATAAACTTTTACATGACAGTTAGAACTTCATCGTATACGAAGTTAGAGAAAGACAGTGAAGAGAGGATATCGAGTTATTCAAGATGATTAGCAACCATCTTCAGTTTCATGATAAAGAGTTAAATGGACTGCACACAATTTGGAGGGGAAGAGAGGGTTGAAAGCAGCGCACTCTGAGACAAAGTGCGCCCAAGATGGAAACCTGACAGGGGACTTAAAAGGGGAAAAAAATTAAAATGGACAGCCTGCAGAAAGTTTCAAATAGCGTCAAGAATGTGTGTGAACCTGATAAAATTAATGAAGATACTATGTTTCTTAATCCAACTGATGTTTCATTAAAAGAAAATACAGAAAGAGATTTGGGTCCACTTAGATGAGTATATTAAAACCTAGCACTACGGTAAGAAAAGGATCAAAGACACATGTAAATGGTTGTTGGAACTCCTAAACCTCTGAGCAAGCACTCTATGCCTTGACATACAGGAGACATTATGCTGACAAGACATATTTAGATGAATCATATATGCTGGGTCAAACTAAAGATCTCTTAAACCCTGTATGTTGACAGCAGCCAGTAGAGGCTGCTTACATATCTTCACAGATAAATCTTAAGTATCTAAACATTTGGGCTCTGAAACCTTTGTACAGGCAAAAATCCTTGGACAAGAGTAGCTTGAGTTTTCTTTGAAGCTGCCACAACTAATGAAGGAAGTGACAGCTGGGATTAGTGTGCACTTCAGCTAACCTCAAGATTCAAGCAACTTTTTTCTCTGAAAATTAACCCGCTCCCATCAGACTACAGTTGGAACTCTTTCTATTTTACACTGCACAGCACCCTTTTGAAAAAACAGGTAAACAGTTCACACTTATGTACTTAAACTTTATTTCTTCATAATTACAGGCTATCGTTAGAATTTTTAAACAAAAGGGAAGTCTATAAATAGAGGCTAATCCCATCTGAATAAGTTCGTTTATTTTTTTAAAAAAAAGTTAAAACTTCATAAAGTAATGCCTTTTAGCTCACAGCAGTGGTTTGTTGGTAGTCTGAGTAAAAGTACTATAGTCAGAGTCAGTAACATGAAATGTAACATCAAATGACTCAAAACTTTAAATTCCGTAAAGGAAAGCAGAAATATATATATAATATATACATATAATATTGTGTTGGTCCACTGAGTATACATTTTTAACAAAAGATAAGAAACTATGTAATCCAGTTAAGCATATGATTTGCAAGATTAGTGTATACTCATTACAAAGATGTATAGATAAGTTTTAACTACTTAATACTTGCAAAATTTTAAGTTACTTTTTTTTTTTTTTTTTGAGCAGATGTTTAAATGCTCATTTCCCAGTGCAAAAGAAAAACCATCCCAGTCAGGTTACCCATTTTTCCTGAAAAATTGAAAACTACCCTCAAACTCGTGCAACAGCAGCATTGATGGGTAATGGGAAGAGCTTAAATATACTGAAGCATAGATGAGTTCTTCCCCTTCTCCCCCAGTGCTGTGTGTTGAAATACTTCAGTTTCCTCAACAGAAATACCACAGGTTAAAAGTGCAAGAAAAAAAAAATTAAAAAAAAAAAAAAATCTCTTGATGTTTATGCTGCTGCCATCCTTTTTTCTTAGATAGGGCAAAAGATTATTCTTTTGGAATTATTTTAATGAAAGTGTATCTCCAGAATAGAGTTCTTTCAAAATGAACAATAAGTTATTTTCATTAACATTCTATCAATCCTACTCTGACTCAGTGACCATAAAGAAATAATTCATTTTAAGGTGCAACTATCAGTTGGCATTCAATAAATTACATATACAGAAAACAACTGTGGTTAAAAAAAAAAAAAATCAGACCACCTGTTTTTTCTATTCTCAATCCTATTTCAAATTGAACTTAGTAACTTGCCAGTTCGGATGCATATTTCACAGGCAAAAGTGGCTCAAATAGCAGTGGGGTCTCATAATTTGACAGTCACCTTGGCCAACAGCAAATGCACATGAATAAAACAGATAAAACAGATCTGTCTTAAAATCCATGACCATGCAAGAAAAGCATTAAAGGTTTCAGAAAGACACACTCACTCTTTCTGACTTAGGCTCCATGAAGATAGTTATTTCAAATCCAAATGTAGAATCTTCAATGAAGAGAAAAATCTATATGCATACATAGAAAATAAAGCACTCCACAACTCTGATATTACTAAAATCTCATTAGAAGGATAAAAGATTTCAGATGACTAACTGCTTGATGGGAGACAGTCAGCCATGGCAGAATAATTGCTATGTTCACTTTATGCTCAATTACCAACTGCTGACAGATTACAGTAAAACTATAATCTCACTATCTGCATTTTAAACTGATTTGCTTACAGCTGGGCAAAGTACTTTGTTCTCCTGGAAACTTGAGAGAAACTGAATGCTAAACAGTTATTCAAACAATAACCAAAAGGACTGAATTTAGCAGAAACATTCACACCGCTTTCAGAAATGTAAAGGTTTTCATAGTTTCTTGTATATATGTATTTTCTGATTAACATTTAAATAGGTTAGGTATTCAGGAAAAGGGACAAAACAGTTGACATAAGACAAAATCTTATTCTAAACTTCATGCTTCTGATATTTCAGATTTACTGAGTGCAATAGCCAGTTCCAAGTCTTCTTGCTCTTGCTGTTTTAGTCTTGCCAATCTTTCTTTCTCTTCTCTCTCACTTTCCCTCTTCGCCCATTCAATCATGTCTTCCTCAGTAGAATACTGCATTTTTAAAAGACAAAATAAACACCAGATTAATAATACAATGATGACTAATACTGTCCAAAGTCCTTTAAGGCACAGTTACAGTTTTTCAAAAAATGTATATATTCTAGTCTTCAAATATTACTTTTTAATTTTAATACACTAATAAGATTAGCTTAGTCTAAGGTTTAACTATTAAGAACTATACTAATGCCATCCAGTTGATGTATTTTTACGAAATGTGCCATGTTTCAAAATTCAGTATTAAGTTTCAAAAAAGTTACTGAGCAGAAAGCGCTGTAATTCAAATTCAATTTTATTTTGGATAAAAAACAGTTTATACAAGAAAAGTTTTGAATAAAGCAGGAGAACATTTTGCAAAATACCCCCTATCCGCACTGTGGGACATCCTGATTTACCATACTTTCATTAGGGATGGTTTTTCCAGATGACACTGACTGTAAAAATGAGCTGGAGAATGACTGTTTTTAATTGCGCAGATGAAAAATACTTCTGCCCAGAAGCAGCAAAATAAGAAGAAACCGTACAGTTAGAAGCCTAATAGTAATATAGAGAAAGGTCAGTGTGATTAAAGAGAAAAAACAAAGAACAGATTCTTTCCATGTATATTGATGTGACCAGAATGTGAACTAAATATCTGTGGTAAAATAATTATAAATCAGAGACAGTTAAGGGTATTGTCTTAAATAAAAGACAAAAGATTATGCTAAAGTGTGTTTCTAGTCAGCATGCAGAAGAACTAAGAGGCAGGTGAAGCCCATGTTTTCAAGAATGTCCCAATGTTAAGTCTGAAAGTGTTATCATCTGGTTTCTGCTTTGAGCTGCTGCTTTGGGAAATAAATGTAGAAAAGCTTTAGTTTTCTCCATAGTTCACTTAGTATTTTCAGTAATTGCAGCTGGAAAAGAATACTTTTTCCTTCATTAAGGTAATGAACATTTTTGCTTTCTCCTCCACATTTCACATTCTGTCCTTCAAACTGGCTTCTCAGTCCCTCTAACTAATAACAGTGATCAATAACAGCATTTCAGAAGTTATCATGCTACAAGACACATCAACCAGTGCAAGTCAATTTTGAGAGCCTGTCAATCCTCAGTTTACTTCAATCAAGCACATAGTTTATTAGGCCTGAAAATAAAGAAAAGCAGTATGATCAAGATACTGTAAATGCAAATTGCATTTAACAGGTATCAAGCTTCGGAGTGAGATAATGCCTTTCAAAACTCCTATTTGCAAAAGCTCAAAAGAAAAATAGGCATGCACAAACCTTTAGATTTGCTTCTACTGCTCGGACACCACGACTTCTATGAAATGGATTCTGGTTATAAAGAGACACTTACTACTTTTTACTTCATTGTACGCAAGTCTAGAATTTACTAGCCATTCAAAACTCACCAACTTGTATTTCATTAACATACACCGTTATGAGGCTGTTTATCAGTATTTCAGTACATGGAAATTATGACCAAACAGTTCAGTGACAGCTAAATTAAAATCACACCTTTTGGTTTATTTTTGATTGGATAGTTAACATCGTGCTTGTTATAGAGAGATAGTGTAAATCTGCTGCATGTTCTGATAAAATGGATAATGCATAGAACATAGATATTTAAAAAGTCCTATTTTCTAAAAGCTAGGAGGCCGTCAGGAAATAACAGTCACAAAAGCAAGGCAATTTAAACATTAACTACAACATATTGCAGTATTTTGTTTTAGGACAGCCTCAGCTGTAAACTAAATGTAAATACTGTTTTAACTGGAAGCGATATCCCTTTTATACATGGGATATGTTTTAATATTTTAAGTTAGACTAAGACTTCAGTGTGAACAATTCAAAGCTGTCATTATACTGAAACAAATGTAAAAAGTGTTTACTCACAGTACTGAAGTTTGCAAAATTGTTGGGGTCAGCCTCTTTACTGATGCTGGTGGGAGCAAATGGATCAGAGAATAGATCTGCTTCTTGTTCTTTGGGAATGTCTGGGGTGGGGAAAGGCTGAAATGGATCGCTCGGTTTAAAGGAATCTGAAGAGTCTATTTGATTGATAGGTCTTTTCCCTTAGATCAAAACGAATTTAAAATGAATTTAAGATAGCAGGTAATAACATGCCGAAAATAGTAAAAAACCCCAAACAAATTCCAAAGCTACTTGGAATGCAACCTCTTCTAGTAAACTAGTGGAGTTGCAATTACTTCAGAGGAGGGGTTGCCAATTTAAAAAATTAAGGTGTGGTCCATAGTTTCTTAAAGGACAATCAAATAAAAAGAAACATATGTATGTTAATGATTCAAGAACACATTTATGGACTAATTAACTGTTTTGGGAACAGAATTTGTAACAGTTTTGAGCCCCTATGCTATCAGCACAATATTTTTTTGTTCTGTGTATCAACGGTCCCTGATCATTCCAGCAAGGCTCTTATTATTTGTTTGGATCAAGTTAGCACAATTTCAGACGCCAGAAGTTTGTAAGTCTTCAAAACACCATGTCCTCTCGCTACAATAACACCTGGAATTTCTGTAGTTTTTAAACTAACAGAACAGAAGAGTATGATAACAAGCAATCATAGGCTTAACTATTTTGTTAATCCTTGCCTACATAGCCGCAGATACAACAGAATCAGGCACAAGCTCCCAGTTATCTTGTTCTTTTTTTCAGCTTAACCCCAGTCAGCTTTCAACACCTTTGAGGACATTAGCCCAAATACTTCCAAGAATAGTTGAGCTGAATTTCATCCCACCGTTCTCTCCATATGTTACTGCTTACAGAAAAGGTTTCATCGCAGTTTCTTGAATTCAACTAGCAAGTTCTGCAAGTGGTTCGACACTTACAATGGTTGTATTTTAAAACTTACTTCTGTTGCCATTCTAGATGAAAATTGCAGAATCAAACCAAAGTGCTTATTATTTTCCATATCACTGTTTTCTAAAAATTGTTTCATAGACCAAAAGAGATTCTAATTTGGCAATGATTTAGAGAATACCCCTGTGGGAATATATGATTTATTTAGACACCTTCCATGATAGCTCTTCACTCACTGATGATGTTCTGTTGCTGGCAAACAACACACATGTTTCTTGAAGAATGTGGGAGAAGCAGGTTCAAATGACATCTAGGGAATTTTATTTCTATATGGGAAGGATTAATAAGTATAAGAATATGAATTATACTATCTCCAAATCTGCCCCAAAAAATCATGAAATGAGGGTGCTTATCAGTATCGAGAAAGGCAACAGATTTCAGAGGCAAGCAGACAGCCCTGCTGCATGCTTTCCAGTAGCGCAGCAAATTAAGAGAAAGATGTTGGGGCATTTCTTCGAAAAATCATTCCTTTGTTTTGAATCAGACCAAAGGAGTAATTAAAAACAAATACACTGAAGTGTCTCAATTTTTTATTTCCATTAGGAAAATAATTTATTGGGAATGGTTATCAAGATAACTACAGTATCATTTTCAATATGTGCAAGTCAAAACAGGCCACTTTTTTCTAGTCATCTGTCGATAAGGATGCTGTTGTTCCACCACTAGAAGCTTGCATTCTGAAAGCGGATCTGTATACCACGTCATAGCCACTCCCATACAATGGAGTCAGAAATCCTTTTTTTTTGTTTTAAATAAGGACCACCACACTATCAAACATTCAGCTAATCATCACTTGTCATGTCAGCTGTTTTAATGTTATTTACAATTTCACTGATTACTTGCAAAGCATAAGTATGAGCCAGATCTCACATCGACACTAGAAATTAAACAACTCAGTTTAAACTTTGGTATTAATACTCCTACTTTTCCCGTGTTCCCCTTCTTTTGAGGAAAAAGATGAATACATGTTTAAGTTCCATGCTACAGTTTTCCAAACGCCTTAATATTCATCCATATAGTGTAATAGAGAAAAACTGATGCAGTAGAGTTTTTAAAGAAAATGAAATAAAGGACAGAAAAGTAAAAAGAAATACGAGTAATATATTTTCCAATCTATTAAAAAAATAAATAAATTGAGAGTGAGGAGTCTGTTGTAACACAAGCTTGGCTTGTTGCAACCACAAGAAGGTGTTGTTACCTTTGATAATCATGGCCTTTTCTGGAAAGCAGAGTGGTTTGTGTCATAGTATAGACCAGAGGACTTGGCTATCACTGAATCGAAAACAGCACAGGAAACTTGGGTTTATCACTGTTACACTGGCTAGGTTTGCTACTACAGACCTCTGGCAAGGCCACCTGGAAAAAGTTAATCTGAAAACCTGAGCCAGTCACTTAACCCTATTTAATTCATTTTACATTAAAACCAGAGGTTTTGCAGTGGATAAAACACACTGAATTCTCACTTTAAGCATCATTTAATGCAAGATTCACAATGTACCACATTAGTAACCATTTAATTTGCAGCCATGCTACGTTATTGTGGATATTTGTAATAACTCTATTTTTTCCTGTTTTCTAAATCCTTTCTCTCTTCAAAAAACAAACGATGATTCCAAACATCATGCAAAATTTAACTTTGAGGAAACCACCAACAGATGAGGAACAGACTTGCTTTACATCTTGCTCATTCATTCTAAATTCAGACACTTCATCATCTCCTCATAATTATTGTCACACTGCCAATATTGAAGCAGCTAATTGTTAACAACATCTCAGTATCAGCTCTTACCAGGTGGTGGCGGACAGGGCCTTGTGGGAGTTCCTGTTTTAGGGGGCAATGCAGGAGGAACATCCTTATTTTTAGCTGGTGGTTCCTCAAACAAATTTTTAGTTATGATCACATTGTTGACAGAACCTGATGTGGAAGAGCTAAAGGGATCTTCGTTGTTGGCCTTCAACAAAGAAAACAGCAAAATACACATTTTCAGTGCAATTCTACTATATTTTCCCTTCTTTCCAATAATGCAATATTTATTTAGAACTGAAAGTTTACTTTAAGATGAAAAGGAAATACCTCTGTCTGTTTTTACATATATCGTACATATAATCCAGAGGAGATTGACAATAAAGGAAAATCAGGAATGGTTAGTGTTTACAGCACTATAAAGTTGAGTGCAGTTAAACATGCAAAAGTAATACTTTCGCTGTTAAACTCAGCAAGTTAAAAAAATGTAATTATAGTATCATTTCAGTTATAGAGAAGAATTCTTATAAAGCCACAAATACTACACTGCATTCCTCACAGTGGAATTCCAGGACAATTTACTACGAAGACCTCTTTTTCAAGAAAGTCAGCCATCAAATTTTTAGTAGTGGCAAAACTGTAACGACACTGTTGGTAAAGAGAGTAAGCTATGTCTTGTCACTGCAGAGTTTCATGCATTTTCTATGAGTAGCGGTAGCTTCCTATTACCTTTGACAGCGTGCTAAAGTCAGCAAAGCCACTTCCGAAGGATTCATTTCCAAACAAAGATGTAAAGGGGTCTGTAGCTAAATGCATACAAATCAAGCAAACAGAATGAGATCAAAAGTTAAATACAAAAGAGACTGAAAAAAATCCCACAACAAAAAAAGCAACTGTTACATATTTTGCAGCATTGACTAATTCAAGTGAAATAGTTTGAGGTGGGCACTTTAAGTTATTAAGTAGCTTTCACAAAAGCTCTAAGTGTCAACTACTGATGAAGAACAGTAATTTTCCTGAAAGGGAGTAATTTAAAAGAAATACTAGTATTCTGGTTTCCTACATTAAAAAAACTAAATTCCACTGAAAGTATCAAATAACAATACTACTGGATGTTCTACTGAATACATGTAAGTATACATACAGAGGTATTTTTTGTGTGCATACACTCAAATATACGCACACAGACATATATCTATGAACATGAACAAAAGCTCGCTTCTGACTGTAGGCCCACCACTTGTGGAATAAAGTATCTAAACTTCATATCATCTCAATCTAATTCAACAGTATCCCTTCATTCTTATGTGCCTCAAAATATGTAAAAACTGCTATTCTACTGGAAAGCAAGAAGTGTGCTGTCTTTACCAATACTCACTCCTGCAAGTTTCAAGGCCAGCCTGGACGAGGCTTTGAGCAACCTGGTCTAGTGGGTGTTGTCCCTGCCCATGGCAGTGGGGTTGGAACTAGATGATCTTTAAGGTCCCTTCCAACCCAAACCATTCTGTGATTCTACGATCTCTAGAAAACAGCATTTTTTCCCTTTTTTCCCTACAATTAAACGGAACAGGTTTACAATACAAAATCACACATGGATTCACGTTTTGGACTACCACTTGTCCGCACAACTTGGGAAAATGGGAGATTAGAGTCTTCCCTAAGACATCTTTAGCCCTCAGATGGGAAAGGATCATAGCAAAACGAAACTTTAACAGTAAAAAATTCTGATGAAGTAATTATTCTATCCCACATCTCCTCTCATAGTACAAAGCTATCTTGTATGTTACTAAGAAAGTAACATGAAATCTCATAAAAACTACCTGAATGGGAAGCAGTACAAACCATTCAAATAGTCTAAACACTTGGATCAGGATATTTTACCAGTTTTAGGTAAGGCAGAGCAACATTTTTTGCAGAATCAGCCTTCAGTGATATGCACTACAGATAACGAGACAGTTTTGTTTTATAAAAATATCCCCCTGCAAACTTGCACCTTCATAGGAAAATTCAGAAAACACAGGAAATCCCTAAAATGCTCCATTGCAAATTCAGTTAAAAGACTAGAAACAAAAGCAAGCAAAACCAAATAAAAATAAAACCCAAGAAGTCTGATGTGTATAATCTGCTTTTACCTAGATCATTTGATGTAGTAACAGTTGTTCCACCAGGAGCAAAAGGGTCATTCTTCTTTGATATCTCTGTCTAAAATAAAAAATTCCTTTGGAGGGAAATTTGTTTTTCAGCTTAAAAGATTCCTCACTCTAAGAATACAACCACAATTTATTTCAGTTTAGAAGTTTTAAGATAAAATATTTCGGAAGCAACTTTTATCAGCATCAGTAAACAAGTCTGTTAACACAAACTCCTCCGCAAAACAGTGATTAATACTTTCAAAGGATGGAAAAAAGGTAATATATGTGCAACATACTTGGTAACCACTAACGCAAAATTTAAAAATATCTGCCACTCATTTTGGTCTCAGATTTCTACAACCCAAGCCATCTTCATGAAGATATAACTACAAGATATCAACACCACAGAGGTGTGATAAAGCATTTAGGATGAACGCATAACTTAACTCCAGAAATACAGATCTCAAGAATCCACTGCTAATCTTTTTTTCACCCCCCCCCCCCCTTTTTTTTTTGCCCTTCTCTTCTGTACTTCTCTTATTAGACATACTAGCATAACCAATTCTTGGTCATATTAAAATATCAAGACTTGGAAAAGGATAGCGTGCTAAGTATTGAAGATTGTAGAAGACTTTTTTTAAGGTTAGAGGTGTAGGCTGTGGTGCGTAATATGACCTTGAGATCCACATAATGTGTGGTGGCACCACATGGAAGGACGAGAACACCGCCGATAGGTGCAGTGATTTCTCACTATCTTGGCTGTTATGGGTTCACCTCAGGCACACTCTACAGCCAGTTAACTTGCTTCCTAATCCACATCTATCTTATTTTTATATATGTATACACATACTTTATACACACACACAAAATTGGAAGTGAAGCGTGAACAGAAGAAGCACCGAGAAGGAAAGGAGATGGCAAAAGTATGGACACAAACTTGCAACATGAAGAATTTCAGCTTCTTAGATTGTTTGTCTGTTAACCCTAAATATTACCTCATCTTCATTAACTTCTATCCTACATCAGAAGAGCTTTCATGCCCAATGCTATCTTATTATAGGCTCAAGACTAATGAATAAGTACTCAGTTATGTGAACAGCTAAAAGTTACACCGAAGCACACTTGAAAGAGATACAGTCAGTAAGAACCTCCACATTATGAGAGGGCTTCAATGACTCTTATTAAAACCCCACAACAGATCCCCAATAATATACACCTATAGAACAATTTGACTTTTCGGAGGAGAAACCCCACGCCACACCAAATTTCAGATAAGATTTAGAACGTAATTATTGATCCTATAAGCTCTGGAAGCAAAAATCAAGTGTCTCAGCATAACTTGGTGAGATTAATTTTGGGTTTATTAAAATGTTTAGTAAGTTCTACCTGCTATCAATAGAGCTTCATTCATTATTCTCACATGTTCTTATAGTTGTGGAGCAATGAAGCTCCGCACTGCCACATTTTATAAATTTTTTTATTTTTACTTCTATTTCATCTGTGACTATTTCTAGAAAATAGGACACAAAAAAGACAAGGCAGAGCTATGGGATAAGAGGTAACCTTTTATCTATATGATTTCTGAATATCAGCTTTTCAAGGCATGTCCAAATGTACAAAATAGGTTACTTTGTCCAAGTCATATATAGAAGTAAAAACGTATGCTACCAAACTTACTGTGATATTATTACTGTTGTCTGCAGTGCTAAATGGATCAGTGCCAGCAGTCACAAATGGATCAGTGGAGGATTGTTTGAAAAAACAGTCAGCTGCAAAAGGATCTGAGCCTTTGAAGGGATCACCACCAAAAGGATCTAAAAAGTAAACATCTCATTAACATTTCTGCTAAACTTTACTTAGCTTGATGTCTTAAAAACTATACATTATATTGCTTTTTTCATACTGCAGGAAGGTGACACATTTAAGACCAAGGATCTCTGAAGTATGAAATTAATTTGTGAATAATTTGTGTTCTGGGATTCAAAACATTAGACAAGCCAATATTTTCTGCACATCACAAAAAACTTTGGATGGTGCCAGTGGTTCAGTTCCAGATGCACAAAATCATTAGGTTGGAGAAGACCTCTGATACCATCTGAGCATATTGGTTCTTTAACCAAACCCCCTAAAAATGAAGCATTTTACAAAACCTAATGTTTCTCAGAACTGTCCTACCCTCCTTCACTCCCCAAACACAACTATGTTTGCAGTGACATTGCTTATACAGCCAGTCTAAATAGAGATGTCTCACCTTGTTCAATATTTAGTTCTAAAGAAAGTTGGTAAGCTAAGAGTCTTTGAAATACTTCTTTGCATACAAAACAGGCAGCAACAGTTTGGGGCCTTCCGTTCACCACCTTCACATACTTAAATCCCAACTAAGGCTACTTCCAACAGCAAGAGAGAAGTTCACTGGCAACAGGCTTCTCTGAAAAGCTTTAACACAAGCAGTCAGCTTCTACTGTCGTGTATCTATCTATCCTATGGTGACTTTTTGGGTCATTTGCCCCCTTTCTGCACTGAAATTGGTGACATTTTTCCCCACATGCTCTTCTAGTAGGAATAATTTAGAAAAACAAACACATTAGAAGTTACAAAGTTACTTACCAATTTTTCCAAAAGGGTCATCTTTGAAGGGATCACCTGGTGGGATTTTTTTTAAAAGAAGATAAGGTACTGGTCATGAAGCAGGTACTCAGTTGAAGTCTTTTGGAGACAAACTCATTTCTACAGCTAGAATTTAAACAACTCTCAGAGGAACAGTTTCACTATTTTCAGTGGAACTACAAGAGCTAGCGTTAGACGAAGCAAATACTCATTAAGTAGCTCATTACCATCATGAAACACACACGAAAGCAGCCATCTGAAAGATGCATTTCTGTTGGCTGTTGTCCACAGACACCCACGTTATGCAGTATTTACCACCACAGTAACCCCAGCTAACCACTGATAGAAGCATAGTCTCAGTTTTGATTAATTTTCACAGGCGCCATGGATGGCAGCTCCTAAGTGTTCATTTCAGTACTGAATGCATGGTCCCAATTGTATCAGTTCCACTGATACATCTATATCTTAGCTGTAGGTATCTACCCCTGAACATACTGAGCACACAAAGCCCAAAAGGTTGGCTACTGACAGACATACCTTTCTCCTGTGAAAGAAAGGCCTTGTCATGTGCTGTAAGTAGGACCACTCCAATATAAACAAAAATCAAGCCATATCTACACAGAAACACTCAAGCTGTTTTAAATTAGTTTAATTTATTCATTAGAAGTATTAAATTTGCACTGACATTCTTTCAGAAGCCAAATGATCTGAAACAAATTTAGCTTATTTTCCTTTCAAAGTGATATGAGCTAAATTGATCAGACCATGTTGATGCTGAAAGCATGTAAAATCATATTAATGTGGCTGAAAACATCTGCTTCAGCAGTTAATCCAAATTGACTCCCCTTCTCTAAGTGGCTCCCTATAGACAGATCACTTCTTCCAACATAAAAGAATAAAAGCAGAGCAACAGCATTCGTAAGTGGCAAGTTCTTAAAATAAAGCATAGCACTTCCACAAGATGAACAGATGGTGCAGTTCCACATTACCTTTTTCTGAGTGCCAAACTCACCATAAGTAGGCCACAGCCATTCATTCTCAACCACCCACACCCTCCCCACACCACAGCTCACTGAACCCTCAGTTGATCTGTTTGTGGATCTGTGCTGCAAATTAGATTAGCGACACCACAAGTGTGCCCACACCTTTAAGGCCAAAATGCAACCAAGGAAAGGGGGAATAAGAGAAGTACTCAGGAAGAGAGGTGAGGGAAAGGTGCAATTTTCACAGCTAATTAGAAAGCCCAGATGAGGGAAGAAGAAACACCCTGGAACTCTCACTTCTACAATTTCTATTTTCATAATGCTATTGGCTCCACCCTCCCGTCACTCAAACATCTTCACATTTATTCTATAAAGAGCAGTTCCAAGGTGAAGATTAGTCTGAGATGTTCAGACATGACCTGCTGCTGCAAATCTGCACTTAGAGAGAAAAGTTCACTTACTGCCAACAAAAGGGTCAGACTGGAAGAACTCTAAGGTGGCTTCAGAAACTAGATCAGGTAATGGATGAGATTCAGCATCAAATGGATCTTCCTGGCAATGCAAAAGAAGTAGAGAAAGGTATTAAATTTTTAAGACATGCAGAATGGAAATCACTTATGTCATCTTGTGTTACCATTTAGTAGTTTCTTAAAGCTGAATAAAAGAGACAACTAGAATTCTACATAATTCACCAATGGAGATCCAAAATATTTTTCGACAGCACATCTGCCTGCTATATGAGATTAAATGTTTTCATGACATCACACTAAATAAAAAACAGTAAGAAATGACAATTTTATTTCTCTGTTGTTCCATGACCATGATGCAAGTCTGAAACAGTTTAACAAGGATTTTTTAATTTACTTCTTCGTCACCCTAATCTGAACAAACTCACTTTTTTGGTAACAGCTGCAGCTGGGCTCTCTTTCTCTTCCTCTGCAACAGTGGCTGTTGTTTCAGGGCTATTCCTTATCTGTATAAGGATAAAAGCAATTCTTCGTAAAGAAGTAAACAGGAGACTTCACTAAGTATTAAATAGCTAAAAGGATATACTAAAGGATACTTCAAGAGGTTCACACTTATAGATCATACTGCAGTACTCCCTGTGAAAGTTTTAAATAATAAAAAAAAAAAATAATCAATCAAGAATCTACTGGGACATAAGGAGGGACATTTAAAGCAAGACAGCTTTAGATTTTCTGTACTCTTCCTTATTCCATTCTTATTGCACCAGCTGGAGACAGGTGCTCTCCTTTAACATTAATTCTACTATTCATTTTATGATATTTTGCTTTGGAAACAAATAGAGAATTTTTTTTTTTTGCCACTTTCCAGCCAAGCTAAAATTGCCTCCTTTCCTGCTTATCAACTTCCAGATCATGGAAACATAGTCCCTCAGAATAACACCCTGAAATTTCACTTGTGCAAGTGTTTAAAAACATAATCCATCTTGATACATTCTTAACTTATTCCAGCTTCACAGCTGCATTGCATCATGATCAAGCAGGCAAAACACTACTCACTGGAGACACACTGTTTATTTGTTCATCTTCTGCTATACTTTCCCTTTCAGCATTCTCATTAAGGTTAGCAGTTTCACTGCTGCTGTTGCTAAGACTAGAATGATCCACAGTTCCATTAACAAGAGTATTATGTGTCTGAGAGTGCCAACTAAATCGGTTATTTTCCAATTCTTTCAGCTCAAGAAGTTTTGTCTGCACCTGTAAACAGAAATAAATGTATATGCATCAGTACGGCAGCACACAGAAGCTAGTACTTGACTATCCCCTCTTAAATACAAGATGGAAGATATACGTCTAAAATACTTATTTTCAAAAGCAAATATAATAAAAACCATGTTCTTTCAATCAAATGGTGAAATTTGAGATAAGCACAAATCTGATTTAGAAGAGATGCAATGTGGTTGAGGGACAGACCTAAGAACCTTCTGCCAAGGAAACAGACTGCACCACTGGCAACATCAAGACTTACTGCTTTGTTTCTGCTCAAACTCATAAGACGAGTTGCAAAGCTTTGAGGGGTTTTTGTTTGTTTAGTTTTGTTTGGGGTTTGTTTTGGTTTTGGTGGGGGGTGTGTGGGTTTTTAAAAAAAATTGTGTATTTGTAATTGCCTTAAACTCTAAATTAAACAGGCCTGCTTTATCAGAATTCTCATCTTCCAAGAAGAAAAATTACAAATTCATTATCTTCTCCCACATGACTCGAAGTCTAAAAAATCCACATACATCTTCCTAAGCAGACAGTTACATTCATGTGTTGTTATTTCAGCAATCTGCTTAATACAGTGCCTCACAGCACACATTTACAACGAACCTGACAGTTATGAAGGAATTACTGGCTTTGGCAGATTATGCAGAAGAATGAACATATTTCAGATATTTAGGTGTCTAAATCCCACTGACTTCTGCTAGGTCAGTCACCTAATAAAGTTTTCATTGCCTTGCACGTGTCACAAGTCAAGTGGCAGCAAAGACACCACCAGGTTTCTTTCAAATACGCTGACCTCAGACCAACCATTAGATAATCTTGCCTAAAGCACCAAAGCACCTGTTGTTTGGTGTTTGTGAGCCAAAAGCAATAGAATCAGGAGTACTGATATAAAACCTATTTAAAAAAAAAAAAAAAAAAGGCATTCAAGCATAACCACTTATATCATCAGCCTCAAATCTGTTCATTGCAAGTACCTCTTGCTAGCATATGAATATTGAAATAGCACAACCTTCTCTTTACCTGTGATGAAACAATGGAAAATCCATTTGTCTACTTCTCAGTTTCTAAACCTCAAAGCTAAATTTAAAAATTATGTTATAAGGCTCTTTAACAGAAAAAGTGTTCTTGCATGAACACTAGCAGTAGAAATTTTTAAAAAAAAAAATTTGTTAACAAGTTACAGACATGAATTTGTGAAATGACCAACCCAAGTCAGCCCTTTCTAGGGTTCAAAGATAATAGGAAGGCTTTTCATTGTGTTTTTAACTTGATAATGATGTGACTCTGGCTAATGTATTAGACAGCTGGCAAGTCAGAGAATAAGAATGATGAAGAAAGGGTAGTGCAAGCCAACACATCACTGAAGTAATAATAAATCACTGATTACAAATAGGAGCTAAAAGTGTTCCTTTAACATAACAGCAGATAATTCAAAGCATGGTGCTTAAAAACCCACACAGCCATCTCTCTGCATCTCAGCACCTAGTCTCAATCCAATTTATTCTTACATTCACCTTATTTTCCCCCTTCAACAATGTACTAAGTAAATGTTCTTAGTAATTTTATAATGACTTCACATCAATTAAAGAATAGTGAGAGAATGCCCCAGGCCATAGATGAGGAAGAAAGCTTAAATAACTACTGGACATAGAGAATTTAAACAAGCATTATCCATTTTTCATTTATTACATTAAGAAAAATTATTCATGAAGTACAATAAATCATTCCCTTTTTATTAACGAAACTTGGAGAAAAATCATGAATTATCTTGAGGGACTAAAGTCAGCCTCTAAGAATCCTGACAACTACTATCACAGAGCACACGTGTAAGCAACTAAAGACATGAGCAAACAGTAAAGAAAAGAAAACAACGCCTTCCCCTTAAGAAAAGCCACACTAAAGGTTGTCAGCTAAAAAAAATTTTTTTTTGGGTCTTTCACACTGCCTTACTGAATTGATTTCCTGTTGTGAATCCTGCAGATGTTGCTGAAGAGGTCCCAGCTGTGCTTTGCCAGACTCTATGCAATGCTCAAGCTCTGCCGTTTCTTGCTGCAGGCGACTCAGCTCCTCTTGAGCTTTGGTCAGTTCATGTTCATATGCTGAAATCTTTGATTCCTGACTTGTTATTTCAGCCTTCAGCATGGCAATCTAAAGCACGAACAATATTTCAAAGTCAAGTAAAATAAACCCCAACACTTCCACACACATCCAAATATTATTATTTATGACCAGAAAAAAGTAAAAAAACTCATAGCTGTTGCAGAGATTATAGATCATACCTGAATGAAAGGTTAATTCCCTGTTGTCTCAGTAAGATCATAGTATTCTAGCTGTTTTCCTCACCAACACAGATATTTCTAATACTGAAAATATGATTTTAGGCCTTAAAGAAATACTACAGCTTTATATTAGAAAAAAAATCTACATGACCATAAGATGCTTTTTTTTTTTTAACCACTAAGAATTCAGTCCCAGTAATTAGTGCTTCTAATTACACTTATATTGCATTATAATTTCACATTATTTACTTGCACTTAACCTTATTTGTGTGCAAGTACATCTCAGTGTATCTGTTGACACATCGATTCTAAATTAGGTCACTGAAGTGAGTGACATATTTCCTATTCTCTGTTGGTCACACAATCTTGACACTCAGGCTGTTTATTTGTCAGTTTTTTCTCCTGCCCCAACAACTCTCATGCTGCAAGGCTGAGTTCTTCAAAATGCGGCATTTATTCTTTCAAGGGCCTTAGCCAGCAGACCTTACCAAATGGGCCTCCTCTGCACACTTCTGCCTGATATCATTAAGTTGCTCTTCCAACTTGGCCTTCTGCTCATCAAGATCATTAAGGATTTCCTGCGCTTCCTGTTTCTGAGCTTGCAGCTTTTGCAGATTACTGCTTTCCCGCTTTACTTCATCTTGTAGATCCTGTAATGAAACAGATTAGTTTTGCATTTGTTCCCTCTCTCCTCCTAACCACTAAATTCCGCAGTATAAACTGCAGTACTAACTAAGACTTCAAAGTATCAACAAATTATCTTTCAAAAAGTAGCATTTGCAACATGTCAGACAAGCAGGTATTCTCAAACTCCCATTCTAAGACATAAAAATAATCAGGTTATTTGCTTTTTCTTTTCTTTAGTAAAAACAATCTCACTGAAATATTGAAGATAGTGCATCAACACAGATATTAACTGTTTTACTCACAGGGAGATTAAGGTTTAATTTTGAATTTAGAAGTTGTCTTTATTCAGGCTGCTACACTGTCTCTCTCCTATGTCTTAGCAATATGTTTTAACTGAGTTCTTTAATAACAGAAATTCTTTATTCTGCTCCTTCTCCCTTCAAAAATACATCGCCAAAAATAGGAATGTGTTTTAGCAACATGGGAAAGGACCAAACTGGTGCATTATTAACCCAAATGCACTCCCTTCTAGAACATCTGATTTCGCAAAAATCAGCCAAAAAACTTATTTTCCATGTAACAGTACTGGTAAGAAATGCACATTCCATACAAAACAATATGGCTGGCAGCTTTTAATTTATGAAACAGCTGTAAGTATGTATCTTGTGTTCCAAGTACATTAAGTAGCATTATATGATAATTAGTTAATTTCTGAGCAACAGGAATGGTTATACTTCAACAAACCACAGAGATAACATTGGAAAATAGGTCAAGAAAAGAATTTAGGAAGAAGAATCATCCAAGTCAGGAGGAAAAATATAATACAGGGAGATCAAAAAGGATTAATACAAAAGGAAAAGTATTAGATGAAAACAGACAATCGCAGCCTATCTGAAAATATACAGCAATTGAAGGAAGAATCGTGAACAACAGTTAAAAAAAAAGAACAAAACCAAAACCAAATAAAGCTACAAGAAAATCAAGGAGGATAAGAAAACAAGCTGACGTGAATTTCTGATTAGATCATACATTCGTGTGCTGGTCTAAGCTAAGATCCTGCTGTCCTTTTTTAGGGCGTCTTGTTTGGGGCTTTTTTTGGTGACGGAGATAGTTTTTCAACGTGTGCTAACACCGCCAGATAATCAGGACAAAAAAGTCAGACAGAAGTAGAAAAGCATATGGTGCAGAAGTTAGATGCTAGGGAAATGGGTAACCTCAAGACAAATGGAAGACTACCTAAGGAAACATCACAGATGTTTTTATGAAAAATAAACCACCCCAAGCAAACAAGAAAAACCCAAATAAAACAAAACACTAAAAAACCACACAAAATCCCAAAAATCAAATTTGAAGTTCAGTAAAGGGTATATGACTGATGTACAACAGTCAGACTAGATGAAATTAATGGTTATTTTTCATCTATGAAAGACAAATCAGTGCAACACAAAAAGCTCCTACAGCAGCTCCTGGGACACTCTTGATTCATTCGTTTTTTACATAGCTTTGAAAAGTGAGAATTAGCTGATACTCAACACAAGCAATGGGGGAAAAAGTAACAGCTTAAAGAGATTTCAGTCTCCTTTCTCTGAAAGGAATCAAGAATTCCCATACATGCAAGCTAAGTACAGATCACTTCCACTCTTGCTACTGTTCCTTGAATCCCAATGTCTGTCCTAGGCACAGCAGTAGAAAAGCATTGAAGAGACCTGACTAAGCCTGATAGCTCCCAGAAGAGAAAAGAAGGGGAAAAAAATACCCAAAATAACCAAAAGCCAAATACGTTCACATAACCACTCCAAAAGGAAAGGCTGGAGTAGATACACATAACTACACATAACTGGGGGTAATTCTCAAAGATGCATCTCCATGAAGTAAACCAGGCTCCAATTAAGCTTTGATTTCAAAGAACACCCTCAGCAGAGAAGCAGCGTCTTAATGGTCAAGCACTGAATGAGATTCTGTATGAAAACCATTAACACATTTGAGGTGGTATAAACTAGTGGTTTTATAGTAATAGTAATCCTTCTATTAGATTTACAATCATTATAACTCTCCATGCTAATGTAGTGTAGGACAAGGAAAGTCTAGAGTTATCTGTACTTCCATAGATAAGACAGTGGATTTAATAGCTTGGCAGTCTGTATTTCACCAAGCAATTAACGTGCTAAGAACTGTTAAGCCTGAATGAGGACTTTCTAATGGCTTTGGTGCACTGCAACAAAGGCTAGAGAAAATCTAATGCTGAATGCAACAGTTAGAAGAAAACTCAGGCCAACAAGCAGATGAAAAGGCTAGAAGAGGCAGCCAGAAACATTCCGGACTACTTAGAAGGCCACAGTCCCAAAATACCTCTCTGAAGCAGTGTCTCACATATAGTTACATTTTTTTCCCCAACTGATACGAACATATATTATGCTTTGTTCAAGAGTAACATGCCTTTGTTCTAAAAATTTCTTTACAAAGTTTCGGTGTCTCATTGAAAAGCAAAACATAGACCTTTTGACTTCACATCGATAAAATTTTAGGGAACATGTAATTGTTGGGAAAGACAGGAGAATCACCACTTATTTGCAGCTAGACTGACAAACCATGCCCATATATGTGAAGTGCTAGATGGAAGATGAGAGTCTTGTGAATGTGTCCAAAAGCCCACTGCCTGAGGCAGTGTCGAACTGCTGAAGCTTCAACATCTGCATCTAGAAAAGCAGGCTGGCGCTGAGCAAGGGGACAGCCAGGTAAAGGCATTTTCAGACGCCACCTGGTATGTGGTCAAAACCTAATGTTTCTGTTACACATTAACTCTGTAAACGTTCTTTACTGCCAAGAGGAATGTTTCATATCTGAGTTCATTATTCCCATATTCATAGGAAAATACTAATCCAATCACAGAATAAGTTACGGAAATGGTGCCTTGGAAGTTTCTTGATCTTTGTAACTCTGCCTGTAACTTTTAATGAAAAAACACCCCTTCATCTTTGCTGCTGAAGAGCTGATATTTTAATAAGCACACTAAAACCCATCAGTATGCTATGCTTTCCTTCCAACTCTTTTTCTGTTTTTGCTTTTTGGCATCTATTTACATAGCATGTAAGTTATTTTATAGAATAAAAAGCTGTCCTCCTTTCCCTCCTCCCATACACAGACCATGGCTATATTTGAAATTATAATTTGTGTCCATGGAAGTAATTCTGGTATCAGAAACCTTGGAGTATGATGCCACAAGACTAGCTTGATCCAAGGTGGCAGATTAGAATGCACTGGTTTTGTATACCATCTTTAGAAAAAAGTCACCATTAGAATAAAACCAGAAGAAAAAAGCATGATGTAAAGATATTCTTCGTCTGTCACCACTGTTCTCTGAAGTTCCAGAAAGTTTCCTGAAACACGCGGGTCCTCCAACATTGAGGAGCAAGAAAAGGACCAGCGATAAAGGGCCACCAGCTTAAATAAATGCTTCAGCCATTTCCTATTTGATCCTGAGGGTTTCTCATTTTTCTGACAAACCAGCAATAGGCTGTTCCTTCTCTGCAGACTGACAGAACTCTGTAACTCTATATTTAGCAAGAGACAAAGAGCTTGTGTGATCACTAAGAGGTTAAAGACCTGAGACAGTTGCTTCCAACATTACTGCTCTAGATACAATGACTTAATTGATTCTGTGGTGCTGCTATCAAATAGTAAACATGAGCAGATGACACCAGTACTGTAACATTAAAGGTAAGGTTTTTATTTAGCTTTATGTGCCTTTTGTACAAAGGCACCAGAGAACTCAACCTTCACGTGAACACACAGATTGCAGAACACACTAACAAAATCATCCAGTGTGCAAAACCAGGAATACCCATAAGAATTTTTAACAGTATGAAAAGGCAATCTGCAGAGCGAGGAGGGGAATGACCGTTGCATGCATGGACA